CCTGCTGTATCCACAGAGTCCCATTATACACAAAGTATGAACTAGTCAGGATGTGCAATAGGATCTCGTGAACATCAGTCAGGTTCAGTCCCATGAGATCAAGTTTTTCCCGGTGCTCAGTGGCCAGTTCTATAACGTCATCAATACAACCTTGGACATTTATGTTGGTATAAAGTGCTGAAATGTCCGCCGAGAAGATTCTCCTGCCAGCTAGCTGTTCTTTCGGAATTGCACGAAGAGTTTCCAGATGTTCAAAGAGATTACCAAGGTGACTGGGTATTTCCTTCAGTAATGGTTTGAGGATGGTTGTCACCAGCCAGCTCAATCTCTCTGTGGGTGAGTCAACACAGCTGATAATGGGTCGTACTTTCACCTGTTCCAGAGGGATGGTGTTTCTGAAACATTCTGGAGAATTCTTGTGAGTCTTGATAAGTACATATAAGACTGGAAGAGAAACATGATCCGGAACTCTGATTTGTCTGAAATAATCATCATCGAGCCCTCGCTGTGTCCATACTTTCTTCCACAATTGATTGGAGCTATCTACCAGTTGAGTGGTCATTCTTTTTATGAGTTGTGAATTCTGGATGGAGGTGGGTTCCGTAACTGTCACTGTCTGACCTCGTACCTTCCTAGTTGGGAGTATCTGCAGGTAAACTGCAGTTTCCTCTAGGTGTTTCTCCGTCAGCGTTCTATGAATATCCTTGGTGGTAACTACGAACTCTCCACACTTGTCTGAAACTGAGACATGTATAGTTCTATCCGTTCTTAGTGAATATAAGCCTTGTTTCTGTGAGCGAGTAAGGTTGTCTTTTGACTGATGGTTATTCACTAAGTTCAGGACAAAACGGTTGAAACATGCGAGTTTATCCTCAAGTTCAGGGCAAGCGGGGTCAGGGGTTCGGGTGAAGGGTGTGGGGAAGGGACAAATCCTCTTGATCTTCTTCGAGGTAGGCTCTTCTGCTTCTTCTGCTTCTTCATGATGTTCTGGAGTATTATTAGCCTGTTCTTCTGAATCCATAGACTGTTCTACTGGTTGTTGTTCAAATGCTTGCTTATGTCTGATCTTAAACACGCATTGTGCAATGTCCATGGAAACTTTGTCCTTGAACTCCTGATTAACATGTGGTGTTACTGCAAAATTAGGCCCAAGTGCAAGAACAGATTTCTGGTTATCTGAAACTGAATCACAGTTGAGTGTAGTCACGCGATCTGCTGCAGGTTGAATAACTGTCGGTGGAGTAGGGGGCGGTGGTGGATAATATTTACTGAGTAGCCAAGTAAACTTGTTCTGCAGGTTCATCTTATACTGTTCTTTAATAGAAATCTGGTTTCTTTCTGATATGGCTATAATTCTATGAAAAACGTGTTGTTCAACTGTATTGTATAGAGTGTTCTTGAACTGTGCAATATGAAGTTTACTGTCTGCGATAATCTGATACTGATAAGAAATATGTTGATTTAATGCTACTGTTCTGAGTCTGTTCAGATGATGTTGTATATTCCTAGATTGACAGATGGGAAATAATGACTGTTGATGTGAAAAACTGTTCAAAATGAAGACTGGAAAAACTTGTCGTCGTTTACATCGTTTTAAGAAATTTAGTTTCTGTTCTGCGATTTTTAACTTTTCTCCAGCTGCAAGAAATGATTTCGCCGTTCCAAAAGTTTCTCGGGACTGAATAAGTTCATGTAAAATCCGGATTGGAGTATTATTTATGAGTCGCATTGTTGTAATGTATTCTGGGTAAAATTATCTTTATCCCGGTTGTTGCGACAAGTAAAAATGCTCTTATTAGGGAAAGGAGATTACTCGACGTTTCAATGTAACTACATCGTATTCATGATCTAAAAACAAGTGTTAAAAATTCAAAACGTAAAAAACATATATCTGAGGCAAAATTTGTGTACATTAATTTATTTTTAATCAATCAACTTTATCCAAAAATTCGATACAAAAAAGTCATAACAAAATTCATAACAAAACTAATTTATACGACGACAAACTTTTATAGTAAATACTGTACATTCCTAAAACTACTACTAAATATACTACACATGATACAGAAGCATGGAGTGCTACAACGGTGAACAGGTGCATGATGTGAAGTGTGTAGGTATGTATCTAGTGTGGAGTGGAAATGGCGGGAATCGTACTGACCAATGAGAAGTGTGAAACGTGGGAGCCTAATATGGTTTGATTGATGTTGTAAGGGTAGTGTGTTGAATAGGAGGCGGAAGTGTGCGTGTGTGAGATGTGGTCCCTGTACTCAGAAAGTAAACAAAACCTATAAATATCACTAAAAATCACTACATATGTGTAGACAATCCCCTGTCTGTAAAGTATAAAATATGTTCCACCCTGTTTATTATGTACTTGTTACTAAAAAACGTTTGATTGTTTCTAACTCATCTCTCTTGTTAATGTTAGGTTTGAACTTCAAAATAAGCATTGCTTCTGCAATCTTTCTTCTAGCTGTGTTGCTTTCTGTTTTTAAAATCTCAAATTCTAAATTGGGTTCTGACCCCCTATGTAAACTGTTATAATGAATAGCAAAAGCTTGACTAGTGTTAGAAGGAGTTAAAGGAAATTTAGCATATCTTAGGTGCTCTCCGAGCCTATCATGTGCCCTCCTGCACGTCTCACCAATATAAATATTATTACAGATTTTACAGGTAATCTTATACACAACGTTCTTCACCTCACAATCTTTATTTTCAGTTATTAATAAAGGACAAATTTTACAGGAGTTAATAATACAGGTTCTCTTATCATACGGTCTGTTATTACACACAATATTTCTTAGTTTTCTAGCTGGGGAAAATATAACTTTAATAGGTAAATTGTTCTGTTTAATATGATTCCTAATTCTGTTACTGATACTGTCTGAGATAAAATCTAACTTAAGCACTGTTCTGTTATCCTCCCTATTTCTATTACTAATACTACTACGACGTCTGTTGGAATAATTTCTGGGTGTTTGATACCCGTTTCTAGTCATAAGACGGTCTAAAATGCTGTATGAATGTTCTCTCTCCTGAGGTCCTGACGAGATCTTGTCCGCTTCTTTATACATGTTGATCACGGTGTTCGTCTTCACAGATTCTGGGTGACATGAATTCTTGTGAAGTGTGATGTCTTTCTGCTGTGGCTTACGGTACAAGCGGCTCGTCACAGTTCCATCAGGTTCCACTCTAAGCTCTGTGTTAAGGAATGGGATGAACTCTTGGTCGTTCTCCGGAAACTCTACCTCCCACTTGAGTTTCTTGTCAGGGTCCTGGTCTGCGATACTCTGAACAAGTGCTAGAGCTTCTTCTCTTGTTACAGCTGTGCTGGTGGCGTCGTCAATGTACCGCTTGTAGAAGTCAGATAAGTAGACCGACAAGTAATGTAAGTCAGTGTAAACCGAGCTTCTCTCAAACTTGTACACTCTGATCACTGCGCAAAATGGTCCCGGTCTCAATCCCATGAAAAGGCCATCCTGCTGTATCCACAGAGTCCCATTATACACAAAGTATGAACTAGTCAGGATGTGCAATAGGATCTCGTGAACATCAGTCAGGTTCAGTCCCATGAGATCAAGTTTTTCCCGGTGCTCAGTGGCCAGTTCTATAACGTCATCAATACAACCTTGGACATTTATGTTGGTATAAAGTGCTGAAATGTCCGCCGAGAAGATTCTCCTGCCAGCTAGCTGTTCTTTCGGAATTGCACGAAGAGTTTCCAGATGTTCAAAGAGATTACCAAGGTGACTGGGTATTTCCTTCAGTAATGGTTTGAGGATGGTTGTCACCAGCCAGCTCAATCTCTCTGTGGGTGAGTCAACACAGCTGATAATGGGTCGTACTTTCACCTGTTCCAGAGGGATGGTGTTTCTGAAACATTCTGGAGAATTCTTGTGAGTCTTGATAAGTACATATAAGACTGGAAGAGAAACATGATCCGGAACTCTGATTTGTCTGAAATAATCATCATCGAGCCCTCGCTGTGTCCATACTTTCTTCCACAATTGATTGGAGCTATCTACCAGTTGAGTGGTCATTCTTTTTATGAGTTGTGAATTCTGGATGGAGGTGGGTTCCGTAACTGTCACTGTCTGACCTCGTACCTTCCTAGTTGGGAGTATCTGCAGGTAAACTGCAGTCAGACAAATGAACTACTCAATTTTGATATCTTTTAGCCCTAAAGTCTACATTTTCTGGTAGTGATGTTATAGTTTAAAATTGATTGCAATGAAATACTTTGAAGCTTTAGTGTCAAGTACTGCCCCCGATTGGTGTTCCTCAACCAACCAAAAATCAGTGATGTTCATTTAATGATAAACTAAGTTTATCTTTTGGTTTAACCAGGCAAATATTTGTGATTTTCATTGGATAAGGCACGTTATCAATGCCAAATTCCATCACGATCGAATTTAACATAAATTTACTTTATATATCTCTTATATATTTCAATACCTCAGAATGTCTAAAGACTGTAAACAAGAGATCAAATCAGAGCAAGTGGAGAACCCAGAAAAGTCAAACGGTTTCCTCTGCCCAATGTGTGGAGCACATTACTTTTCAGAAGACTACTTTGTTGAGCACATCAAAGAACATTATATATATATAAAGCAATATCTAATTGTACAATAAAACAAGAACTTACATCTGAATCAGATAAACCATCTGTTTTTATCTGTCCAGTTTGTGCTGAACATGTTTACTCAGACACTCAGTTAATAGAACATGTAAAACAGCATCATGATCATAGCAGCCCAGAAGTACCTGACTACTTTGATACTTCAGATAACTTGACTGAAACAGATCCTCAGAGGACATTAGTTCTGTTTCCTAGTGAGAGTCCGCATGTGAGACCATTTATGTGTTCACAGTGTACATTCAGTGCAGCATATTCGAGTAATCTTTCTGTACATATGAGAACTCACTATGGAGAGATACCCTTCAAATGTTCAGAGTGTTCATTTGCTGCAAGTCAAGCAGGTATTCTTACTAGACATATGAGAACTCACTCTGAAGAGAAACCCTTCAAATGTTCAGAGTGTTCATTTGCTACAAAACGAGCAGGTGATCTTACTAGACATATGAGAACTCACTCAGGTGAGAAACCCTTTAAGTGTTCTGAGTGTTCATATGCTGCAAGACACGCAAATAGTCTTACTGAACATAGGAAAATTCACTCAGGTGAGAAACCCTTCAAGTGTTCTGAGTGTTCATATGCTACAAAACGAGCAGGTAATCTTACTGAACATATGAGAACTCACTCAGGTGAGAAACCCTTCAAGTGTTCTGAGTGTTCATTTGCTGCAAGACACGCAAGTTATCTTTCTGTACATATGAGAATTCACTCAGGTGAGAAACCCTTCAAATGTTCTGAGTGTTCATTTGCTGCAAGACAAGCAAATAGTGTTACTGAACATATGAGGATTCACTCAGGTGAGAAACCCTTCAAGTGTTCTGAGTGTTCATATGCTACCAAACGAGCAGGTAATCTTACTGAACATATGAGAACTCACTCAGGTGAGAAACCCTTCAAGTGTTGTGAGTGTTCATATGCTGCAAGACAAGCCAGTAATCTTACTAGACATATGAGAATTCACTCTGGGGAGAATAAGAAACCCTTCAAATGTTCTGAGTGTTCATTTGCTGCAAGACAAGCAGGCCATCTTACTGAACATATGAGAACTCACTCAGGTGAGAAACCCTTTAAGTGTTCTGAGTGTTCATATGCTGCAAGACGAGCAGGTAATCTTACTAAACATATAATGAGAATGCATACTACTTCGTCAGAAATACAGAACTTATCACCGGACACTGTGGGTTAAACAAACACCTTCGTACCATCTGCAAATCTAACACCAGCGCATATCCGATATGTGACCTCGAATAAAAGACCGTCTCGTATTTTCTAAGACCGTGCCTTTGTACCCATCTATTGCTCAACTTTGAGGGCAATATTTTCAGGATTATTACCTCCCTGTCAACGATATCTTCGACAACCATCAAATAACTACTCTTGTCAACTTTGCAACCTACACTAAGTGTCATTAGTAGCATACTTCGATTCCACTTTTATTATCTGGAGACTGGAAAACTTTGAATAAGGATCAATGGGTAAATTATGAAATGTGAATATTCAAACCGGAAATAATATACATTTTTTAAGATAATACATTATGATTCAAATTAGTGAAAAACGATGAAGATATAATACAAATATATATGTTGCATGCCATTACCTTCTCAAGCACTATCGCTATCATTAATGATTTTTCTTTTATTTGATGTATTGTGTTATCACTGTTCTTCTAGTAAGACTGAAGCATGTCACCGATAAAAATGTCAGACAAATGAACTATACTACTCTATTTTGATATCTTTTAGCCCTAAAGTCTACATTTTCTGGTAGTGATGTTATAGTTTAAAATTGATTGCAATTAAATACTTTGAAGCTTTAGCGTCAAGTACTTCCTCCGATTGGTGTTCCTCAACCAATCAAAAATCAGTGATGTTCATTTAATGATAAAATAAGTTTATCGTTTGGTTTAACCGGGCAAATATTTGTGATTTTCATTGGATAAGGCACGTTATCAATGCCAAATTTCTTCACGATCGAATTTAAAATAAATGTACTTTATATATCTCTTATATTTCAATACCTCAGAATGTCTAAAGACTGTAAACAAGAGATCAAATCAGAGCAAGTGGAGAACCCAGAAAAGTCAAACGGTTTCCTCTGCCCAATGTGTGGAGCACATTACTTTTCAGAAGACTACTTTGTTGAGCACATCAAAGAACATAAAACAATATCAAATTGTACAATAAAACAAGAACTTACATCTGAATCAGATAACCCATCTGTTTTTATCTGTCCAGTTTGTGCTGAACATGTTTACTCAGACACTCAGTTTATAGAACATGTAAAACAGCATCATGATCATAGCAGCCCAGAAGTACCTGACTACTTTGATACTTCAGATAACTTGACTGGAAGTTGGAACTGATCCTCAGAGGACATTAGTTCTGTCTCCTAGTAAGAGTCCGCCTGCGAAACCATTTAGGTGTTCACAGTGTAGATTCAGTGCAGCATATTCGAGAACACTTATAAAACATCAAAAGATTCACTGTGGAGAGAAACCTTTAAAATGTTCAGAGTGTTTATATGCTACAAAACGAGCAGGTGATCTTACTGTACATATGAGAATTCACTCAGGTGAGAAACCCTTCGAGTGTTCTGAGTGTTCATACGCTGCAAAACGAGCAGGTCATCTTACTGTACATATAAGATCTCACTCAGGTGAGAAACCCTTCAAGTGTTCTGAGTGTTCATTTGCTGCAAGACAAGCAGGTCATCTTACTGAACATATGAGAATTCACTCAGGTGAAAAACCCTTCAAATGTTTTGAGTGTTCATTTGCTGCAAGACAAGCAGGTCATCTTACTGAACATATTCAAGAACTCACTCAGGTGAGAAACCCTTCAAGTGTTCTGAGTGTTCATATGCTACAAAACGAGCATGTCATCTTACTGTACATATGAGAATTCACTCAGGTGAGAAACCCTTCAAATGTTCTGAGTGTTCATATGCTGGAAGACAAGCAACGCATCTTACTCAACACATAAAAATTCACTCTGGGGAGAAATGATTCAAATGTTCACAGAGCTCTTTTCCTGCAAGATAAATGAGTGATCCTACAAGAAATATTAGAATCCACTATATGGTGAGAAACTAAATTGGCAGTCCTGCAAGATGTTGTTCAATTCTTGATAAGATGGCGAGACATTATGATTTTTTGCCTTTACTGACATTAACCCCCCCCCCCCCCCCCCCCCCCCCATTAAGTAATGGAGCATCGTCGTGGTTGTATCTGTTTGAAATCCCCCCGTAATAAGTTTTACAAATAGCTATTGTGTCAAAATCACTAGAGTGTAATCATTTGGAAACCCCTACCCCCTTCCCCTCGGCTGAATACGTAATATTATGTGAACGACCACTTATCGTGTCTGTCAGGTAAATCTCCCATCGTGATCAAAGTATATTATACATAGAATTTGTTATTGTATCTGTTTGTTTAATTTGTTTTTCGTCATACACACAAATATTGGAGGGTGGGGGGAATTCAATGGTGAACAATTTTTCACCATTTTAGTTATTTATTTTCAAAGTATCAAATTTAATTATTAAATGTGTACCAAGGTCCAAGAGCTTAATTTTGATGAACCTTACTCGCCATGTTCACTAAAAGTAACCAGTTTTGATGTACCTTACTCACCATGATCACCAAAAGTTACTAGATTTGATGTATCTTACTCGCCATGTTCACTAAAGTAGCCAATTTTGATGTACCTTACTCGCCATGTTCACCAAAAGTTACCAGTATTAATGTTTCTTTCTCACTGCACCATTTTCACTTAAAGTTACCATTTTCAATGTACCTTTCTCACCATGTTCAGTTTTCACTAGTTTTGATGAAAAATTGTGATTGATAGTTTGCATTGGTGAATCGAGTTTCCGAATTTCTGAAACCTATACTTACTTTAAGTTTAATGAAACACATGTTTAATTGTTTCTTTATATCCTTAAAATCTGAGTTAATAACCAACAACTTTTTTTGGAGTGATAACACCTAACCAGGTCAAAACTAAAACTAGAAGGCAATATATTTATCGAAAAAATGGCGAAAAATGGTGAAATTTTACAATTTGGAAACCGTAATTCACCATAAAAATAATTCACCATTTTACACCATTGGATACCCCCTGTTCGGTGTTCAGTGTTTTGTTTCTGCTTTATCATTGCATGTTTACAATTTCATGAACTTAACTTCTTCTATCTTCCTCCATCCAAGATGGTATTTTATTAATGAGCGTCCAGTTAACTCTCTTACATCACAAGGATGATACTATGAAAGAAGATTGTTTGGAATGTAAGATAATAAGAAGAACTCTAGAAGTAGGAATCTCTGCTTACTGTCTTCACGGCTCTACTGTTATATCAAAGTTTCGCTCATCCCTTAACATAACATCCGCTCATAAATACTTTTATCTTACAGTAGGTACGACTTACAAATGGATAAAATAACAGACTCTTTAAAAGAGTCTGTTAAATACATGTCAATGTTTTATCTTTCATTTCAATCTATATGTAAAGTTTCCAACTTATATACACTAGCAGGAACCCGTGAAATATAGCCCTAAACGGTGTCAAGACTCAAGATACTGAAATAATTATTACCTATTTAATTGGCGTTTTTGACACCACTTGGGGGTCCAAATTTTCGGCTCTAAAATCATTATTCCTCGGCCAATTTTTTATTTTTTCATGCTGATTTGGAGGATATTAAAGCATTTGACCCAGCCAAAAAAGTTTCAGTTGTATATCTTTTACGGTTTTTGCAGAAAGTTGCGTTAAAGTCGATGCCGTGGTGTCAGTAAAATGGCACAGATATATATATATATATCGTCTCGCTTTATATATAGTAAGATTATAGTACAATATATTCCGTTTCTTAAGCACTAAGTTTGATTTTGACTACATTCCAACATTACAGGAGGTGCATCGTTTGGTGTGTTTATATACGACGTCCTAAAACCTAAAATCCTACCTTCACCCCCATGTTCCAGCTAATAGAACTAAGGAATAATGTTGGTATCCGGCCCTCCCTCTTCAAACTGGAACAAACCCGAGCTATAAAGGAGGTGCTGAACACCAAGCTAGCAAACAAAGTGCTTTACCCTCACGGACTGTGTATTGCACTTCATGATATTATTCAGATTGGGGAGTCTTTCTCCTTCCCTGGTGACGCGGGTCAGTTGCGTGGATATCAAATGTTTAGTTGATGTGATAGACAAGATGAGTCAGCAATACAATGCTGAAATAGACTGATATTAGAAAACGTCGAAATATGTTTTAATATCTTAAAATCTAATCTCTTTTGAAAATTAAACGATTTTTGTTCTCTAAAACTGGATAAAGACTTGAATTAACGCACCGTATTTTAGGAACCCACACGTCTGTTCTGTTCCGGTACATAGTGTTCAAACCCTTTGAAGAGGAGGTTATCATCGGTAAAGTTAGACGGTCCAGTCCAGACGGTGTTTGGGTAACTTTGGGCTTCTTCGAGGACATTTTCATCCCTGAAGCGTATCTCCAGTCTCCACACAGGTTCTGTATTTAATCTGGTGTTTGAAACTGCTTTTAGAGCTATTAGTTACCATGTTTATGAGCCGAACAGCCGTAGTAACTATAATTGTGTCCCCTAGTTACTGATAAAACCATACGTGTCATGTATTCATAACCCTAGTAACCATATTAGTTACAGAGATTGATAAGACGTGTTCTCTCAGGTTCGACCAAGAGGAGAACTGCTGGATTTGGGAGTACACTGACGGACTGGAGACTCACAATCTCTACATGGATGAGAGAGAAGAAATCAGGTACCAGCTATACGGGCTAATTAAATTTAGATAAAATTAACATCTGCATTTTGATGATTACTACATTTGGCAGCAGTTTTAGCTTTTGATAAAGTGCCAAGTACAAATTTTAGATCTCATCTCAAGGTAACCATAAATCCCCCACCACATATTTACTTTACTCTGTTACCAGGTTCAGGGTTTGTAAAATAGAGTTTAACGACGTAGCTAAACGTGCTCCTACACAAGACTCAGAAGAGTTGTTACCTATGAAGATTATCGGTACTATCAGTGAACCAGGCTTAGGACTTTTATCTTGGTGGAAGGAGGATAATATTTAGTACATGCCAGTTTTTACTTTTTATTTTTATTTATTACGCCACATAGGTTTTTATTGTCACAGCGTATTTGTCGAAGGTTGATTAATCGGTAGGCTATAGCAGTGAGATGCCAACTTTTATTAAATCATAAAGTATTTAATGGAATATCATACATTATTTAAAGGTTTTGATTCTTTTAATTGTTCTTTCTTTAAACCAACATTATCTATTTGGAAAAATATCTTGAACTCTTGTCTATTGGTTAACTCAATCATAAGCATAGACTTGAACGTTTAGTTTTTTTACAGAACGGTTCGTGACTTGTCAGAATGGTGCTTAACTTATTTATCTGAACTCTTTGGAAATTTTGTTATGCAATTTGAAAACATTCCTGATATTGTTTTTGTTTTATTATAATTTCTCAAAAGCGGACATAATTTATTAACATTGTTGATGTACTGTAGCAAAGATAAAACCCATTATATAATATGAACCATCCTAATCCCTAATTAGTACGGCTGAGGAGAAGGAATGAATATGTATTGATAAGAGGACGTACGCGTATGGGGTAAAAATGGTGAAATTTTACTATTTGGAAAACCGATTCACCATCAAATTCATTCGCCATTTTTCTCCATTTTTCACCATTGGATACCCCCGGTTTAACTGGGCAAACCCAGGTCAAGATTTATGCGAGATTGCGAGCCAGACTCATCGCACAAAATTTGTAAATAAATGAGGAAACAGAAAAAGTTTAACTTAAAAGTTGAGGGAATTAGGAACTTAACATGTATTTTATACTCTTAAAGTTAACGTGTATTTTATCACTTGTTTATAGCGTGAAAACTTCGACGTAACGCGCGCGAGATTTTTGCCAGATTTTTGCGCGTTTCGTTTAAATCTCATAGCTAGGCTCACGATATCGTGAGATTCCAGTAGATGAATCCATAAATTTGGAACATGGGCACATCGCAGTATTGGCCGTATTTGAGTGCTGGGAAGGCTCAGTTCGGTTTTCTAAGATGGATATAGCCGTAAGCTAGGCCTAGGAGCCATCAAAAGTCGTATAAAATTACCCATGGAATGACCAGAAATGAACGAAAATGAACATTCTTCTCAAAGTGCTCAGAATGGTTTAAAATGGGTCGGAAAGTGTTTACATTGGTCCTAGGACCACTCAAACCAAGTTTGGGAATCACTGTATGTCTAGAACCGATGTGAAGGTGGTTCCAATTTTGATTTTTGTAACCATTTTGGGAACATGGGGACATCGAAGTATTGGCTGTATTTAAGTGCTGGGAAGCCTCAATTCGGTTTTCTAAGATGGATATAGGTAAAAACTAGGCCTAAGAGCCATCAAAACTCAAATAACATTACCCAGGTTCATGGAATGAACGAAAATGAACAAAAATGAATATTGTCCTAAAAATGCTCAGAACGGTTTAAAATTGGTCGGAAAGTGTTTATATTAGTCCTAGGACCACTCAAACCAAGTTTGGGAATCACTGCATGTCTAGAACCGATGTTACCAATGTTCCAAAATGTTCCAATTTTGGCACAATAATCCTCCTGAGAATCCAGATTTTTGGAACATGGGCACATCGAAGTATTGGCTGTATTTAAGTGCTGGGAAGCCTCAATTCGGTTTTCTAAGATGGATATAGGTAAAAGCTAGGCCTAAGAGCCATAAAAACTCAAATAACATTACCCAGGTTCATGGAATGAACGAAAATGAACAAAAATGAATATTGTCCTAAAAATGCTCAGAATGGTTTAAAATTGGTCGGAAAGTGTTTATATTAGTCCTAGGACCACTCAAACCAAGTTTGGGAATCTCTGCATGTCTAGAACCGATGTTACCAATGTTTCAAAATGTTCCAATTTTGGCACAATAATTCTCCTGAGAATCCAGATTTTTGGAACATGGGCACATCGAAGTATTGGCTGTATTTAAGTGCTGGGAAGCCTCAATTCGGTTTTCTAAGATGGATATAGGTAAAAACTAGGCCTAAGAGCCATCAAAACTCAAATAACATTACCCAGGTTCATGGAATGAACGAAAATGAACAAAAATGAATATTGTCCTAAAAATGCTCAGAATGGTTTAAAATTGGTCGGAAAGTGTTTATATTAGTCCTAGGACCACTCAAACCAAGTTTGGGAATCACTGCATGTCTAGAACCGATGTTACCAATGTTCCAAAATGTTCCAATTTTGGCACAATAATCCTCCTGAGAATCCAGATTTTTGGAACATGGGCACTTCGAAGTATTGGCTGTATTTAAGTGCTGGGAAGCCTCAATTCGTTTTTCTAAGATGGATATAGGTAAAAACTAGGTCTAAGAGCCATCAAAAGTCAAATAACATAACCCAGGTTCATGGAATGAACGAAAATGAACAAAAATGAAAATTTTCCTTAAAGCGCTCAGAATGGTAAGAAAATGGTGGCAAAGAGTCAATATTTTCGTCCAACAGAGTCTTAAAGTTGCATTCAGAATTATGTACAATTAGCACACGTACCTCCAAGAGAAGGCAGAAATTATTTTATTGGGCAACTATTTTGGTTTTAATAATCCCCCAATATATTGATATAAATTTATGACATCATTAGCTGTATTTGTTCGTTGAGGGATGAAGGTTGCAGGTGAAAGGGTTGGTTGAGCGAGGTAGGTTGCTGGTGAAGGGGTTGGTTGCGTTAGGTAGGCTGGTGGTGAATGATTTGGTTGAGGGATGAAGGTTGCTGGTGAAGGGGTTGGTTGAGTGAGGTGGACTGCTGGTGCTTCTTTGAACTGGTAGATAAAGAGGTAGGCTCATCAATTTAGTGAAGGGATTCATTGTCGTTGTAGTTGTTGTGGTTAACAGAGAGGGATGATTTGTATAACTTAATTATCTATTTATTCTCTTCTTATTCATTAACAAGCTTGCTAAGTTAATCCTATTGCTGATGACCTGATCTGATCTTACGCCTCTACATCCGATCACACCAAATAAGATCGGATAACCTTGCTACGCTCGGATCGCCTTATTCAGATCACATCTTTATTTGCTTCCACACATCTATTACACGAAGTGATGTGATACAAATGAAACTGATGTGATCTAAATATAGGGTGTACATTGTGTGACTGTCTGACTGTTTATGGAATCACTGCATGCCCAGAACCGATACGAGGGGTGCAGAATACCGAACCATCTTAACAGTACAGTAAATGAATAGTCTGTTGATTGGCCTTATGACTCTTTCGTAAACTCTTTGGAATTGCTCAGAGCGGTTTAAAATTGGTCGGAAAGTGTTTGTATTGGTCCTAAGACCACTCGAATTGGAACATTTTGGAACATTGGTAACATCGGTTCTAGACATGCAGTGATTCCCAAACTTGGTTTGAGTGGTCCTAGGACCAATATAAACACTTTCCGACCAATTTTAAACCGTTCTGAGAATTTTTAGGACAATATCCATTTTTGTTCATTTTCGTTCATTCCATGAACCTGGGTAATATTATTTGACTTTTGATGGCTCTTAGGCCTAGTTTTTACCTATATTCATCTTAGAAAACCGAATTGAGGCTTCCCAGCACTTAAATACAGCAAATACTTCGACGTGCCCATGTTCCAAAAATCTGGATTCTCAGGAGGATTATTGTGACAAAATTGGAACATTTTGGAACATTGGTAACATCGGTTCTAGACATGCAGTGATTCCCAAACTTGGTTTGAGTGGTCCTAGGACTAATATAAACACTTTCCGACCAATTTTAAACCGTTCTGAGCATTTTTAGGACAATATTCATTTTTGTTCATTTTCGTTCATTCCATGAACCTGGGTAATGTTATTTGAGTTTTGATGGCTCTTAGGCCTAGCTTTTACCTATATCCATCTTAGAAAACCGAATTGAGGCTTCCCAGCACTTAAATACAGCCAATACTTCGATGTGCCCATGTTCCAAAAATCTGGATTCTCAGGAGGATTATTGTGCCAAAATTGGAACATTTTGGAACATTGGTAACATCGGTTCTAGACATGCAGTGATTCCCAAACTTGGTTTGAGTGGTCCTAGGACTAATATAAACACTTTCCGACCAATTTTAAACCGTTCTGAGCATTTTTAGGACAATATTCATTTTTGTTCATTTTCGTTCATTCCATGAACCTGGGTAATGTTATTTGAGTTTTGATGGCTCTTAGGCCTAGTTTTTACCTATATCCATCTTAGAAAACCGAATTGAGGCTTCCCAGCACTTAAATACAGCCAATACTTCGATGTGCCCATGTTCCAAAAATCTGGATTCTCAGGAGGATTATTGTGACAAAATTGGAACATTTTGGAACATTGGTAACATCGGTTCTAGACATGCAGTGATTCCCAAACTTGGTTTGAGTGGTCCTAGGACTAATATAAACACTTTCCGACCAATTTTAAACCATTCTGAGCATTTTTAGGACAATATTCATTTTTGTTCATTTTCGTTCATTCCATGAACCTGGGTAATGTTATGCTACTTTCGATGGCCCCTAGACCTAGCTTGCAAATATATCCATCATTTACAATTATTTTTGGCACTATTTAGAGCTCATTAGGGCAAATAAATGCATGGCACACTTTTGGCACAATTTTGGCACATGTTCCAAAAATGTTCCAAAAATGTTCCAAAAATCTGGATTCATCAACTCTGAGATTCTCCGCGAGATTTCGGCATCCTCTTTCAGCACTACATATTCGGTCGCGCGCTTGCATTTTCATCGCTTTTCAGCGTGTTTATTCTTAGTTTATTTACCATGCAACGGCCCCATAATAATATTCCTCATATTGCTGGCCTTTTCGTCTTTATCATCAAGCCGACTTTTCATGGTCAATGAACTTTTGGTATTGATTGTTTTGAATTATTACTGGTTGTGACTTGTGTTACTCTGACGGCTTACTTTTCTGTACTGTCTAAGTCTGAAAGGATACTAGTTGTTGTCGATACTAATCGGTTTATAAGATCAAGATTCACAGTGGTTACTATAGTTACCATGGTTACCATTAAAGGAGGTCCGGTAAAAGTTTGATAAAGGGTCTCTTCAACTGGAGAACTGACTTATTAATCCTAGCAGGTAATTAACTCTGGATCCTTATCACATTGATTCCATTCTAAATTCTAGTATAGTACTACCTGAAGTTGCAGGAGCGCGCGAATATGGATATGTAAATGTTACAATGAAGTGTATGGAATCGTGGCCTAGTTGGTTAATCCGACGGTTCTAGATTAGCAGATTGCAAGTTCGATACCCGGGACGGATAATTTTTTCCACTCTTTTGGCAATTATGAATAACTATACTAATGAACTAATAACTATACTAATGAATAACTAAACCTCTGTAATATAATTAGCATATAATTAGCAAAGTGAAAT